ATATTTCTATGAACTAAACCATATTTCTTTTAATTCACTGTGAAAAAAGAAATATAAATGAAGTAGTGGAAAATATAAATAAAAATTTAGAAATGCTTTTCAATTCCTGCTTCATTATGATCTCCCTCCGTAAGTTTCAACTTCCTTATCTATAAAATGGGATTGATGAAGATATATGTCCTACATGCCTGACAGAATTATTATAAGGGATCGAATTAAGTAATGTACATAAAACCCTTGAAATACTACAAAGGATGATGATGTAAATGCATGCCACTGTTGCTACAAGGTCGCCTACGCCACACTTTCTCCGTAGCTTCACTCCTGCCCTTCTTGTTTGTTCCAGGCAGACTGCACACAATTCATTTCCTTAAGCACAGACACAAGCAATCTTCTGTTATTACACATGAAAGGAGGTTAGAGGCTACTGATTCTGGAGTAGACAACAATAGCCTTGCTCTAACAAACCTTTTGGGAAAATCCACAGGATACTCCCCCCCCCATCCTGTCCAGTCTTTTTAAGATACGGAGCCATGAGTCAAAGCCCCTGTGAAAATTGTAATTTCAGTGTGGTTTAAACTTTAACAGCTTTCGTATCCATCTGTAAAATGTCATTTCTGTTGGTTCCATCTTAGTAGTTCAAACAATAGGGAAAAGAATCACATACCCACCTCCCTCAATAAAATGCAAAACTCTGCAACTCCCTATAATGTATGGGCACTCAAGCTAGACTAATTTATGATATAGTTACTTTTATTTTTTAGCATTTTTATTTGGCACTTATGCTACATAATTAATGGTGTTTACATGGAAAGCGTGTTTAACTAATGTAAATGGCATAAGTGGATTACTGAGCAAGCCTAAAAACAAATAAATATTTTTCTCTTTTGAAAATATTTTTTCAATGTCCTTTAAATGTCTGGCACAAGAGCAGAGATTTTAAAATGTCAAAAGAGATACAGAATTTAAGTTTCTGAGGTCCATTTCTCCTGGGAAACAGGCTTATAATTTTGTATCCTACAGTGATTGGCTTGGGGGAAGTTAAAAGTGACCCCAATAGCTGAGCAATCCCAGACCCAGAGGCATGTCTTTTCTTTGGAAGGATGCCAGTTTTTCTCCATGACCTTAAACATAGCACAATATCTGGGCCTTACAGACCATTTCCTGTAGTTTACAGGAGTGAGAATGACAGACTCACAAAATAAACTAATATGCTTACTATAAAGACCAGAAAAATGACAGGGAAAGAAACTCATCTCTGCCATCACAATTACATCAGCCAATTGTGACATTTACTGGGACACCCCCCACCTCCGTGTAAGTTGGTATCACATGATCTTTCTTTTTTTTAAATTAATTTTATTGAGAAACAAATAGCAATGAGACAGTTTCAAAACTGATTAGTAGGACAGTTTCAATAATTAATACATTGCATATTATTGTCTTTGTAACAGTTACTCATAGTACAAGATGCAGACATGATATCTTGTCCAAACACTATTAGTACAAATCTTTCTTCGCATTGAATTAAGAGAAAGTAGTTGTATATCTATCCTAACTATTTTGTATATACAGATACAAAATGGTCCTTCATTGTATCCCCTTTCCTTGTTTAGTTTTGTCAGAGATGGGTATTTCATTGCCATTTAAATATTGCAAGTGTGGGTAGCATATGATCTTTGAATGGCAGCACAGAGCTGAGTTACCATAAAATAGAGCTGGCATAACAGTCACTACCTGCCAAGACATATTATTTTCTAAAGATTGGAACAAGAAGGATTTGACATCAAAGGCTGTTTCCTTACTCCTGCTTTCCCAGAGGCAAAGAGCCAAGGCAGCAGGAATAAAAATGCCTCTCCTATATCCACATGTTCAGCCTTTAGGAGGACAAAGAGGAAAGCCCCAGCTTCAAGTCATTACTGTAAGAACAGATAATGTGTCCTCAAAAGCACTCTGGAGTTATCTCAGGAGGTGCAGGCTAGACTGTCCCAGCATATGTTCTCTAGAGGAGGGTCTGGCCTAAGAGCTGACTGCCAAGCACACAGGTTATTGAGACCTAAGAGAACAATTCAATCCAAGTGAGTTCTGATCAGACCAGAACACCAAGATCCCTGCTCCAGTCTTATCCAGGTTCCAGGGAGTTAGCCCAGAACTGGAGTCCAGACTTGGAGGACAAAATGAAGGTCAAATACATACAAGAAGCATGTTCTGAATCGTGTAAGACTCAGTGTTATCTTAAGACCTTGACTTTTACTTTCCTATCACCTGAAACATATTAAAAGCTATGTATATCATACATTTAATGATGTTTATAAAATACTTTTTATAATTTAACTTTGGAAATTATTTGGTTAAATTAATATAAAGTATGCTGATTTCTCAATACTCCTTATATTGTATTTTGAACTCTCACTTGGAGACAACATCTCATCTAAAAACTGTTTTCAAATGTAATGAAGTTGTCATGAGTGCTAAAACCAGGTATTAAGGAAGCTGACACAATGTTCTATTCACGACCATTGAATAAATGTTTATTAAATTTGCTTGGGCTGCACATTTTGAGGGCTTTTGGGGAAGATAATTATTTTTTCCTGGTCAGATTCCAGACATTTGCAAAGGCAAACCTTCTCTCCCTAGCACTGGGAATCCTGAACCTAGGGGTCAAACTGGTCTTCTGTGATAAAGGCCCTCAGCCAGGTACTCCCAAGTGACAAGGCATCCTCTAGCATAGTTATCAGAAACTCCCAGTGACTTCATGGGACATCCATCCTCAACTGAAACAATATACCCAGAGAGAGAGAGAGAGAGAGAGAGAGAGAGAGAGAGAGAGAGAGAGAGAGAGAATACAAAATAATAATA